TACTTGTGTTACCCTGTTTTGGTAATGACTAAAATGCTGTAAAGACAGTATAATGCGGTCCCAGTCCACTAAGGTAAGAACATCACCTAAGAAACTGGTCTTCCTCAATGTATTTTTACTCAGATGACTAGCTGAAACTATACACACACTTGTGATTAATTATGCAAGCTAGTGAGCATACATTCTATGCTACAACACAGATTAGGCAAGCAAGAAGCCTCTCAGTTGAGATGTTCCCTTTGTAATGCACAGGTTGAAACCCACAAAAACTGAAGGAACAAGTTCAAATGGAAATGCTTGATCCCATTGTAATTTAGTAAAATGTTTACATTTTGGTTTTCTTAAAGACCTCTTTTCTTCAGGACACACTCATTCTCCAGACCGTACTACTTTAACCAGTTTCCATGCTCATTTTGGTGTCATTGCTGATTTACATGTAGAAAAAATGCTTTGTGACTTTTCATGGTGAGAATAGATACAGCAGCATATCAGCAGCTGTGCCAAATCTGAGCAAATAAAGACTTTTCTGAAGGATAGTGCAAGGAGAAAATTACAGCCACGTTTATGATAATACATGGCAAATCTGACCAACATGTCAGCAATGATATAATTCTGCAGTTACCGCAAGGACTAAAGTGAAAACTGATTTCTTCAGGTCCAGTTCATGAACCAAGGCACTGAACTCTAATTACAATACGAGAAAATCTAGAGCACAAGGAATATCTTCCTGAAGTTGGCTTTCTTCTGATATCTCACTCTATCTTCTTAATAATTATTTTCATGTCAGAAGGACTTCCTTTCAAAGCCATCACTTAGTGCACTAAATTTTCTATATTTCTAGAAGTTATAGAAGGAAATAGGCAGAGGAAATCATGATGTTTCTCTGTATAAATAACAGTTTTCAGTATGGAGAGTCGTATCCACTTTTGAAGGGGAGTGAAGAATAACATACCTAGCTGCTTCTGTGGGCTACAGGGTAACTGATAAACAAAAATGAAGAAGCAATATGGAAAATACATGCAATTGAAAGGCTCCCTACTGCGGAAAAATTACACTTAGAAGCTCAGCTTTTGTGTGCATGTTGTCACTACCTACCAAACAAGTGGAAACATTTTTCCTGAGCTGGTCCCTGCCATCCATAGGTGGTGTCGGCTGTTCGTATCAGCAGAAGAGAACAATTTCCAGCAGGGAGGACTTGGCAAATCTGACATTTCCTGCTACAGAGCAAGGGGATCTGTGGCAGATACATGGTTTCCTGGGGGTTCGTGCAGGAAATGCCTTCTCAAATAGCTACTTGGTAATTTTTACTAAACTCAAATTTCCGGGGGGAGGAAGAAGGCTTAGCAGCATTTTACCAAAAGATTGAGAAACAACATATTTGTAGTGATTTATTTTGCTCCCTCTCAAAATACCCTATGTGTAATATGCATGTTTTTCTCCTTAAGTAAAACACTATCCATTATTTTCACAGCTAATTCCATCTCAGAAGGCTCTGACTGTCAGTCAATCCATGTCAGTCGACCTGAGGGAAAAATCCCATGGAGGCCAGAAAAGTAAGTAAATGAATTATCTGGTCAGTGAATTCTGCAAAAAATCGAATTACTGTTACATTGACAAAACCTCAATTTCATATTCATTTGAAGGAAATGAGGGTTTAACTAACCAGTAAACTATCAAAAGAAAGATGTCTGGAAATTGACATTTTTCCATGATGTTTATTTAGCAATTGGATTCTATAGGTTAAGTAAATACTTTTTCTCTAAATAATCCTTTGCCCTTTCCTTCCCTGATCACAACCTACGTATTGGCTTTTCAATCTCAATTTTTCAACAAACCATTCCTTCTTTTTTTTAAAAAAAATACATGTTCAGGAATTTTTAACCATATCATAACCCTTGGCCTCCTTAATTTGGGTCTAAGTTCCTGAACACCGTTTTCTGAAGAATAACAGGTTGTTTTGCACAATGGCTGGTTGCCTGGGGATAACACTGCACTGTATATCCAGTAATTTTAAAGACCGAAGAGGAAGGATGATGATAAAGTTAAAAAATGAAGAAAAGCAAATTCAAATCTAATGACAGCAGAAATGAGTAGGACTTGACAAGAGTGGAACTAGTTTCTACGGTATATGACATGGTGGTCAGGTTTCATTTTAAAGGGAAAGCAAAAAGCATTATAATTATCATTTGGGCCCCCATATCCAGTTTTCTTTGGAAAATCTAGGTAGTTATGCAAAACCATGTTAACTGTTAACACCAGCATATATTTCCCGCTGAAGAAGTCACTGTTTTGTATGTATTACTCTTTCTCTCTGTGTACGTTAATATATGTAGTTATATCTTGCCTGTCCATATGAACTAATAGAATAATTGTATCGTCTAAAACCCAGGATGGTAGTATTCCATTTCATAGAAAAACCACATCTTCTTTATCCAGTCTCCAACTGATGGGCCACTACTCAGCCATAAAGAATGAAAATTAGAGTCATTCATAGGATAATGGATGCATATTGAGGATATATTCTTAAGTGAAATACATAAGTCATACATATGTAAATACTGAATAGTTTCTCTGGTGTGAAAAACTATAATCGTACATAAGATGCTAATGACATAATTGACAATGTGAAATAGGAAGAAAAGGGCTAAAGGTGTAGGGAAAGTGGGAAGGGTAGGGGAAAGAAAATAAGGGGAAAGAAAATAAGGGAAAAGAAAAAAATATGAGAAAACAAAAAAATGGAAATAAAGTATTTGTAAATGAGGAGGGGAGGAGGGGGTGAAGGGAGGGCAGGGACAAGGGGAAAAAATGAGAACCAAGACCTGTCATGTAAAGGTACAAGATCCCAATGATGAATGTAACTGTACTGTATACCTAAAATGTACCAATAAATTCAATGAAGAAAAAAAAATAAAACCCAGGATATTTGAAATTAGTTTTTAATCTGAATGTCACTGGTTTCCCACAAATAAACACACTGATTGGCTACAAATGTGACCTATAAGAAAGACTTTTATTCATGAAAACAGCATTAAAGATACTGCATACCAACTCCAGAACTATAGCACAAAAGTTCAGTTTACATGAAACAAGAATGCAAATATACATTGCAAGTCTTCAGAGGGAGAACAGAACTTCCTGTGGTTTTCACATGTTTCCATGAGCAATATCCACTGCACAAGGTGCCTTTCTTAGATTGTTAATCAGGTCTATTGAATTGCCAACTAAGAGAAATACATAGGAATTTTAAAAGACCATCTCCTTCCTATAGCTAATTACAAAGTAATAATTCATTAAATATTCCCATTTATCTCTCTGACAGTCTCATTTGTGAAGCTTTTAAGTTAAATAAGTACTTTGTCATTTTCACTTCATTTTTGAATCCCCGGAATCTATTTCTATTTAGGCAGTGTCTGCAAAAGTAAACTAAAGTCGAGAACTGCGATTTTCTCTTGGTTCTGGGCTCTGTAGTAAGTGACCTTATAATTATCAGGGAAAAGCCAAACATATTCAAGCGTTGTAGAGCTCCACTTTATTTTTCCTCTGTAGACATATGAACAAGGAGTTAACTTTAAAGCATTTTTAATAACCCATTATTCCATGTAAGAAGATAGTTTCCTTCAATTTCATGCTCACAAATGCAATCGCTATTAGCTCATGGAAACTAAAGTGAAATTAAACAATAACTGAATAAGTAAATAAAATAGAAAATTCAGGGTTATTTTGTGTAAAATAAATTATTAAATTCATTTGACTTTTCATTTGCTTTTAATTTAACAAAGGGCAGATCCTCAGGAAATCTGGGATTGGAAGTTAACAACAACAAGATGAACTTGTTATTTATCAGCAGTTATTCCCACTAAGTTACATGACAAACGGTAGTTTAGTTCAGCCCATCTGACGACAGCACTGATTTAATGAGCACTGCAAATAAAGCCAATGCTTGTTTTGATGCCACTTTTCTACATAAGAGAGTGACTGAGATCCAATCTTGTGCTCAAAATTTGTAACATAAGACAATCTCTCATGATGTATCTGCTATGGCACAGACCTTTAGTCTAGATGTACCTGCGTGTACTACCCTATTCTTTGCTGTGTATCAGTTAAGGCCACAACACTCTTAATTCCTACTTTGTGTTCTTTGCTATATTTATTTCTCTTAAGAGCCTTAACTCATATTATTGGTCAACTCCAAGTGTTTCGATTCTCTTCCCTTAAATTAGCCATAGTGCAATTGGTTCACTTCCCTTGACCACAGTAACTGCACAAAATGATGGTTTGAAAATTTAGTTCTTTTTGAAAGAAACAAAAATCAAAGTTTACCCCATAAATGGGAAGCAAACCTGAAATCAGTCATGCTGGCCATGAAATGTAGAGGTTTCAAAGTTTTATTTTTCTAAAATTATTCGAATAGATAGCTAAGACTGAGTACTAATATTTGTTTATCCGAAGTTATGTTAGATTCTGACCGATTAATGAGAACAGGCCAGAATCAAAGCATGTTGCTGTTGGCATTGTCTCCAAAGGGGCTGCCAGTGGGGAGGAAAACAGATTGCAAAGATGTTTGTAAAGAAAGCATCTTTTAACAGAGATTTAACAATTAAGTTGTATACAAACAGTATTCTAAAGCTGTATATCTTACCCTCAAATCTGAGCGATATGATCATTTTGTTTACTGTTTTATTTCTTCTAAAAATAATGGAAATATAGATACATTTAACAAACTGTGGCTTCAGAAATACCATTGTAGCAAATAATTTTATTAATAATTTTGTAAAAATGGCACTTAATAAATTCTAATATCTTGATGTAATTAAAAGCAAACAAAAGTCATTAAAACAGTTCCTTTTGGTGATTTACATTAGATTGTATAGCATTACTTGATTTTTGTTTTACAAACTAATCTAAAATACTAAAAGTCAAATCAGGGTAAAAACAATACAGTGCATTTTCTTTATTTCAAAATAGCAATTATAAATACATTCTTAATATATTTTTCTCCCCAACTCTTTGGATGCGACAACAATAACAACAACAACAAAATAAACCTCACTGTGCTCATTTTATACAATGGCAATGCGAAAATCATGCAAATGACATTATAATTTATCACCATACATTTCTAGATGTATTCTGCTAGTTCTGAAATATCTGTTGATATTATTCATGAGGCCATGCCCTGTTTAAATTATGCGTCTTTATGGCTTATAAAATTAAATGTTTCAAAAAAAGCAACAAACGAAAGGTGGTCTTAAATGACTTTCTAATTAATATATTTATTCACTTTATTATTCACAATGGAAAACTAAATATAGAATATAAATTGCCTTATAGACTTCAATCACTGTACTTTAATAGCTGCTTTCTCATAAAATTACACAAAGATTTACTTTAAAGAATTGAATCATCTTTATTGATTTCATAAAAAAATAATTTAAAACTTGATTTATATTACACGGACACAATATATTATCTCAACCCCTTCACTGATTTCGTAATATCTAGTTTCTTTGCAACTGTCCTAACACAGTTCATAGACATGAATACAATGCCAAGAAGCCCATCCTGTGTCAGACCACATTAGAAATTAGCACTTCTTGGATTTTCATGACTTGAATCAAAGTTCTACTAAAAATGCTGTACCAACGTACATGTCATACTTCAAGGGGTTAAACTAACATCAAGGTTAAAATTGAAGCCAACAAAATGTAGATACAGTATTTTAACTGCTCTTGTACTCAATTCAGAACTTATGCCTAATTCTGCATTATCATAAAATGTACAAGTAGAACTAATGAGAGACAGGTGCAAAATAGTATACACTGTATAATGTAGGCACAATGACTTTAGTTAAGGAAAGTATATCAGCCTTAACCAAGGATTTGTTACTTTCATTTACAATTAGAACCTCCAAATAACCACATACAGTTAAATTACTTTTTTTTCCTAAAAATGTTGAACATTTATACCTTTCAGCAGAAGAATATAAAATAGCCAATATACTACAGCAAGCTTTGAGATGGTGGCAGGTACTCTTGCTACTGACGATTCTGCAGAAGCTTTGAAACATCTTCAAAGCATCACCACACTGAATAAAAGGCATCATCCCAATGACCTATTATCCCCAGATCATAGATGGAGCTTTCTGGCTCCTCCCATAAATGTCTACTTAAGATTCCTCAATCCATACTTTATTGACAGGATAAACTAAAACACTTTCTTTGAAGCCTTTGCGTCTTTATCCTGTCAGTATGCATTAGGAGCCCTTTAATCCATGGCTGCATGCATGCATGGTAATGGCATATTAAAAGTCCTTATGAAATTGCAGATGAATACTAGCTGTTGAGCACACATCTTGTCTTTTCTTTTGAGATGAGAAAGCAATTATTTGTTTGGATTTTTATATTCATATAAAGTATTCACAGACATTGTCATGAAAATTAAAATTACACATTAAAATTTTAAGAGCACCAGCACATACATATGGAGAATTTTTCCTATTAAAAATCTCTAAATTATCTATATGTATGAATACATATCCAAACACACACACACAAACACATACACACATTTTCTTCCAAGAATGCTATGAGTATTTTGTTTGTTTTTTAAATCTTGCAACAAACACACAGACTCCTGAAATTAGTGCTTAATAAATTGATTGCTGTTACAACTTTAACCATAACATTTTGGAAGCTGCACAAAAACATCTGCCACTTGAAATTCTTGAAGGATGTCTATGTTTTCCTTCTTGGTTATTTAACTAATTAATATAGTAATCCATAAGAGATGGATATCACACACACACAAACACACACACACACACACACACACACACACACCACAAACACAAGCTGGCCAAGAAGGCAATGTATTTCTGGATAGCATTTTTCTAATCGAGAGCTCCTAAAAATCTTTAAATATCACAGGTTATCAAATACGTAATTCCTTCAACCAGTTTTGACTTAGAATTTAACAGCACAAGCAAATACAGGGACATATCATTTGTACTTGCAGGCTGTGAGCTCATCTGAGACCAATGCAAGCATTTTACAGTGTGGCTTTGACAGCCAAGATTGCCATGATGTTTACTGTTCTACTAGATTTTCTGATAGTAGTCAGAATGATGAAAGAATACTGATGCATACAAGATACTATTAACCTTGGTCATTACTTTTTTAATATTTGTAGTGAAAACTATTTGAATTAAGCTAATAGAATCCTGAAAAGCAAGACAACTGACGGCAAATAACAACTGCCCCAGACACGATACTATGGAACTAAGGAACCTATTTTAAAATGCACAATTGGTAACAAATCTGAAGATAATATGCTAAATTCACAAGAATAGCACAGAACTGGTTTTTTTTGTATTTTTCTTTCTTTTTCATTTGTTTTTTGCTTTTTCTGTTTTTAATTTATACCTGATCACAAAGTCCAAAATATTTCTGTACACATTAGCTTCAGTTTCAGTTTAGTATATTCTTCTATCTAAATTTATACTCACTGATAAATTCGCTGTGATCAGGAAAACAAGTCAGGCATATTAAATACATATTAAGGAGTACATATTTTGCTATTTAGTATACAAAGTACTTTATAAATATGAATTATGTTACAAAAATAGCTTTGGGTGCGCTCACACGGTAAGCACTTTGCTAATTTTGGACAACCTTTAAGGATTGTGGGTATTTCACGTAACTGAGAACAAACTCTAGTGTCAGTTTAATTTAAGCCACATTTGATTCAGATCACCACAAACGCTATATTATTCACGTTGATATTTTTCTCTTTTAGGTTTTTATGTATAGACAGGTAATGCTTAAAGTGTTCAGATTTACTTTATATTTAAGTAAAGCATGGTATATTTTAAACAATATTTGCACAATTTAACATTATAAACCCAGCGGTTTCAAGATGCAGGCCATAAAGTTTACCGATTTACAAATACTATCGAATGTTCTCTCTTTGCATGCTTTTTTTTTTTACACTTTTCAGATAATCTTTACACAGAGTTGTTACTATGCCACAAATCAAAAGGATTATACCAGTTCCACCAGCTTAACGTGCAAGATGAAGGACCCAGCTGAAGTACCAACACTGGTACCAGTTTTCTTGAATTTGCTTTACAAAGCACAAAGAGACGAAGGTTTTGTACTGGGGTACAAAACATATTTGCCTCTTGAGGTTAAATTCAGTGTACTGTGTGTATAAAGCATCCCTTTGGCAACAGAGTTTGCAGTATCCCCACAGGACTCCACAGTATAGGTTTTCTGTAGCAAAATCTATTAAGGAAATTCTCTTCTACTTGACATATCTTTGCAGCTAGAGTTAATGAGACACCCTTGAAAACACCTACCTCTATGCCTATTGATAACATAGTATTTGGAAATTAGAAGTCAGCAAAAGGCACTTTCATCATTAAATAAATGTCCTCTGTATGAAGTTAGATTGCCTGACCTATATCTTGTTCAAAGCTGTTTGCTCCTCAAGGACTTGTAGGTAGTCAGGAGAACTCTGAAGTTTTGCCTTCAGTTCAAAATATTCGCTCTTCCTTTGCTCCACAACAATTTTACTGTGGTTTCCGCCTATCAGTGACTTCTTGTTTTTTTTATCTTGTTGTTTTTCTGGATAGCGGATCTCAAAGCCACTGACGCCTATGCTGTTATACTCCTTTTTGCTTTCAAGAAAATTCTGAATAAACACATTGGAATCCCTGCTAGGGAATAATTCGTCCAGCTCATCAATTGTGCTCAGCCTTTTCCTGGTATCCACATGCAATAAATCTTTGTCCTTGTCAGCAACATTTCTCATAATGACTTTCTGTCCCGGGGGTTCTGAAAACATGAACCCGGTGGCTTCTGACTCTTTCAAGCCACAGGTGTGGCTCTTGCTCATCTGTTCTATGGTTTGGGGAATGAAAGCTTCTGTGCTCAGTCCGTCTTTTTTATTGGTTTTGTGGTCATGCTTCCGTAGCTGCAGCTGCATGGAACCACACTCAGGATTCCCCAGGCCTTCTTGCTTTACCGTGGGTTTCTTGTTGCGTCTCAGCACAAAAACAAGAAGGCAAAAAGCAACAAAGACAGTTAAAATGAGGACCACCAAGATACTTAGGATTAAAATCGATAGAGGCACTGGGCCACCAGGAGGACTTCGAATGGGCCCCAATGGGGTGGTGAACGTAATGACAGGTGCAGGGCTTGTGAAAGGTGCAGATGGCTTGTTTAAAAGTTTGGGACACAAGATTTCATTTTTGAGGGACTTCAGTTCGATGTTGGCAAACTGAACAGGTGTCTCACACTTCAGTTCTTTCACAACAATCCCATCATTTAACTTCTCCAGCCACAGCTTCAGGGCCACCAAGTCACAAGTGCAGTCCCACGGGTTGCCCTCCAAGTCAATCTGTGTCAGAGACTGCAGCTGATCAAGGACCCCGCTGACAGGCAGGTACATGAATTTGTTGTTCCTAAGGTTCAGTCTGGCAAGGGGTGCCCCGGAAAAAATGTAAACAGGCAGGCTTTTTAGGAGATTATTGTTTAAGTACAATAACTGCAAATTGGGCATGGAGTCAAAGGTGCCTGCTAAGATTTCCTTAATCAAATTGTACTCCAAATACAGATACTGAAGGTTGTGAAGGCCTGAAAAGATTTCAGGATAGAGTCTCTCGATCTGATTGCCATTGAGATAAAGCCTGCGCAAATTAGTAAGATTGTGGAATACGTCTCCCTTGATCACTGTAATCTGATTGCTGCCTAAATGGAGTAGATCCAGTCCTTCAAACTCGGCGAAGTCTGAGATGTCCACGTCTTTGATGCTATTGCCATTGACGTGCAATTTCTTGGCATTTAACGGTTTCGGTATCAGTTCAGACATGGACTGTATGTTTTTCTCTTGGCAGTTCACACTCAGTCCCAAATCCGAAGGATGCGTTTTGCAAAAGCAAGGTGCTGGGCAGGGTGTCAGAGGAGGCACCCTTGTTTGGTAAGACACAATCTGACTGAGATTGCGGTTGGAGAGGGCTTTGCCAGCCACGATTCCAGAGATCTTGGAAGGATTTGTTGTTTTTGGTGGTTTGGTCACTAACCTGTGCAAAGATGTTTGAGTAGTGTGACCATTAGGAGTGGTGTAGCTGTTTTCCAGCTGAGAGGGAGGCAAAATTCGAACGTCAAAATCACTACCTGTTCCCATGGGGCATAATTCTTGTTTGTTGGTTTCTTTTAAAAGCCTTCCGTATAAGTCACTGGGAGTTTCACAGATAGCTTCGCCTATGTAAATGTTATATGGCATATTCTCTAGCCAAGCTTTTAAAGGCAACAAATCACAGCTACAGTTCCACGGGTTATCTTCCAGCTGCAATTCAACGACACGGCCAATGTGTTCCAGAACTCCGATGTAGGGGAGTTTCTGGATTCTGTTTCCTCGTATATCCAGATGGGTCAAAGACGCGAATCGGAAAATATTATCAGGAAGGAATGAAATCAGATTGTCATTAAGAATGAGAACTTTCAGTTTGTGGAGCTTATTGAAGGCTCCTCGTTCAATATACTTGATTAAATTGTAGTCAGCCTGGAGATACTCCAAGTTCTCTATGCCAAGGAAAGTGTCAGCTCGGAGAATCTTTAATTCATTGTTGTTCAAGTGCAACTGCTTTAATGCACTGAGCCCCAGAAAGGCTCCTCCCTCAATGTTCTGCAGTTTATTATTTCCCAGATGCAGGGATACTGCGTGAGAAAAATTCAAGAACGTATTTGGATAGAGGATATTTAAGAAATTGTTTTGGAAATTCAGGTGATAAAAATTAGACCAAGGTGGTTTCAGCTGGTTTGGCCTGTACACTGAAACTTTCTCACAGTTGACATAGAGCACATTCTCTACTGACACGCAGGAGCACACATTGCAAATTTCCACTGAGATGTCAGAATCTGCATTTGTCGAAGAAATCAGGGCTGACAAAATCAGAAAGAGCCAAAGAAACATCTTCTGGCAATCAGCAAATAACTTTATGCTTCTGAATAAAGAGAAATAATCTACAAAATAAAAAGAAAAGATTTTTTCAATGGTCATGACTTGAAAACTTATTAATGTTTAAATCATATCACAGTGAACACATGGCTGTAATTACCAGCGTTGTATTTTAGCGCACACCACACTCCAAATATTTGCACTCCATCAAACAATAACCACAAAATACCACACACTTCATTTCCACACCTATGATTAATCATATTCAACCTTAGCATTGGAATTATTTTTTAACTTAGATAACCAAACTCTGCCCTGAAACTCAGGAAGGAAAGCTTCCTATTTGCAACTCAAATGACATTTGGGAGATCATTAGGCATGCTATGTTATCTGCACCACAAAGGCATTACAATTAGTGGACATCTATTTTCCAGGCTGGGGCTAGATAAAGAGGCTGAATAAGAGCTGAGGAGAGCCCAGGCTTCAGTGGAGGATGGCAATGGGAAGACTGGGCAGCTGCACAAGGGCCAGGTAACAGACCTATGTGGAAGGCGCCCTGGACTGAGCCCAATGGTAAGCACACAGCCATTAATCAATTCCCTCCTGTACACTGCTGCCTTCAAAGGCACAGATGACCCTGGTGTTTGTGTGTGTGGGGGGGTGTTCTAGAAAAACAAATGAATAGAAGCTAGCCCAATTTTATTTTCAAACAAAATAACGATAGGTATCTAGTTTCCTGAAGGTTAACTCCCAAGTGGGTACGGCTGGGGGAGGGAGGAAGGGAGCTTTTGACTTCGAGTCCCTGAGGGCAGGATAGGAACTGCTAGCTCCCACCTTGCTTAGCTGATCACCAGGCAGCCTTTTCACCCCAAGAATTTCCTCTCTTGCCTTTCCAGTCCTCGCCTGTTCCTTTATTAACTACTTTGAACCTAGGTCCAATAGACCCTTGGCTCAAATGCTTATCTGCTTCACTTGGATGGATCACAGACTGCCACTGCTGAGGAAAAGGACTTTACACGCCACAATCTTTGAGGAGCTTTCTCTGCAGAACCAGATACATTCAGTAGAAATACAGCTTTTGTCCAAAAATAATGAGGCCCCAAACATCTCCCCAATATTACCACCCCATGTAAACAAATAAAAGTCACTTTTTGGTGTACTTCAATGCTTAGCAAGTTAAACCACTGTTGCTCACTCCTCCTATACCGCATATATACATAAATACACACCCAGCGCTTCTCCTTCATGGAAAAGACTAAAGGAACACAAACAGCATGCATTCTCTTGATGCAAATTTAGGCATGTGAATCTTTCCCATTGTGAATAGGAAGCTGGCTGCAGTTTCAATATGGTTACCAGCAAATATTAATTAAATAAATAAAATAGCCAGGAACACACAACGACATAACGAAGCCAAGAAAGAAGTGTCACAGAAACTCCCTTGTTTATTTTGCCCCTGAGAAATCGGCTAGTGGTGAAATCAGACCTGTCTCAAGGTAGACAACCCATTAGCGACGACCGGGAAGATTTACATCTTAAGTAGTTTAGTTCAGAACATGGCCAGCACTGCTGACGTACTATTTGGCTGCCTTGCAGACATACATTTCCCCTATTCACCAGGACAGTATGATTTGCATGGCTAAAAGAAGTCAGAATTCTTAAATATGACATCATCAAACCAACTTGGATTGTAAAATCAAAATTTCCCTTATCTTTTGCTTTCTGTTGATGTGATTGTCAACAGTTATTTTGGTTCAGTTGAGTCATTTCTTGTTACTACCAACCACCACCCTCAGCCCCAAACCAGGAAACCAAAAAGCAACCAAGCTAAAAATGAAAAGGAAAATTAAAATCAAATAACTCGAACTCAGTACAAAATCAAGAGCCAAAGACATCAATACATCTTCAAACGCAGAAAGAGCTGCCCTCCTCCTGGTGATTTCTACTTCAAGTAGCCAGGAGGAAAGAGAAGGGCAAGGGTGAGTGAGCTAGGAAGTTCCCAAATGCAGCTCTGGTAAAACCGAGGAAGCCGTAAGCAGCTGGAGGAGCAGCAGACAAGGAAGAGAAAGAGTTGGTCCGCCGAGAGAGGGGAAAGAGGTGCCGAAAGGGCAAGAGGAATAGAGAATGGGAGAACGGAAGAGAAAGAGGATAATAAAAGGGGACACTGAATATAAACGAAAGACATCGCACATTCACGGGAGTCCCCATTCGATCATGCACTAAATGTGAGAAAAAGGAACAAAAATCGTACAAAGTACGAGTAGGGCATCAAGAGCCATCTCTCAGGCTGCCGAGCGTGGTGCGTCTCCCCGTCTTTCCGTTTCTGTGCCAGAGACGCTCAGCTTCCACAGCCGGCCGGAACTGCACAGACCTATCCCTGCCACAAATTCAGCATCCAGCCCAGTGCCGCGCCTGGGCTCCGCGCCTCGGCAGCGGGAGCTGCCTGTGGGGGACAGGCCACCACACGGGCGTCCGTGGGTCGAGGTGGCTCCGCAGGTGCTGATGTGCAAACCTTGGCCAGCTCTCCTCGGGCCAGGATGGAGGAGGAGAGGGTCGGAAGACAGACCCGACCCCTGCCGCCCCTGGTGCGCTACCTCGGGCCAGTAGAGACGCGGTCGGAGGGGTTGCAGGCGCTGGCGCGTACCGCAATGTTTTGCCGCATCCCGGAACCCAGAGCCCGCGCAGCCCCT